TGTTGAAAAAATAAAGTCCTTGTCATGGCGCATATGTTGGTGATCGGAAATATAAGCAGATATGTAACGTACAGCAAAACAACTGTAGAATATGCCACAGGTTAAAAAATCAACCTTCGAAGTGAACTCCATGGCCTGTATTGTCTGACGTCTGACAGAAAATTCATGCAGAGCATTGAGGTTCATTTTTCAGCAAATGCTATGCATTTGTTGTCAGTGATTCTTTATCTAAGTCACCTGAATTTTCCCTAACTACTTTAGAAGTTTATGACTTCATATTCCAGGTATTAATAAAAGATTTTCATCAAGAAGAGGTTCCTGTGGTATCAGTGACTGATAATAGCTCCAATTTTGTTGCATACGCAGTCACTATCTGGTTGATTTGTGTAGGGTGCAGAAATCTGTTCATTGCTCGCGGACACACTTGTCCTAATGGTCGAGGAAGTAGTTTCGTTGGGACATTCGAAACTGCTATTAATTCCACTGCCGCTTCAACATATGATGAACTGGAGAGAAGAGAAGTAAACACTTTCTACTGCAACATAGAAATGCTAAACATTCTGTAACGAAAGAGACTATCAAAGCTATTAAAAGAAAGAATTCTTCCTTCAAATATGAGGTGTTTGGAGTCTTCAGCTGTTACATATTATCGTAGAAATGATTTTCGAGCAGCCACGGAAAGTGTGGTGTAGAATGACCCGAAATATAGATATCGACGATTAAAGTACGTACAACTGACATGTCGATCAACTACAATTCCAGGAACCAGGTGAGCTTGTTTTATTTTCGGCTGTTAATTCTGATACTGCTTAGCACATTGTAGATCATATACAGTCTGTACTCAATACACAGACGGACAGACACATGATGAACCCAAAAAGAAGTATAATGGATTACCGAAATTTGGATTATTATTGTAGCCATGGTGGTTGTGGTATTTGAAATAACAGATGATTCCTTGGTACTTGATAACACGTTGATCACAAATTCCAAATATAATACGTTCATCTGTGCTCATTTATTTCTACCTGCCTCAAATTAGCAATTTCTGGAATTCTTTGTTACCATATTAATTCGTATTCTTCTAACTGTCATAATATGTTATTTGTACAAACCGATAACTTGATTGGATGATTAGTAGGAATTCCAAATATAATACATTTAATTGACCTCGTAACGTTTCACCCGTCTTTAATTTCATTTTTCTTGGAATTTTTAGTGAACACATCAATTCAAATACTTCTGGTTATCATACTGCACTCTTAAGGTAAAAATCTATTATTAGTTGAGGTCAGGAAATTAACGATATTTATATCTCATCCGCAATTGATGTGGCCTAATCCAGAGTCATCACCGAGGAGTTTCTGTGCAATTTTCTGCCTTATTTGAGGTATAGGCCGCCTATAAATAGTTTTTACAGAATCCCTCACTGTGTTTTTTATTCCATATGGCTAAGTGCAAACCGTTATCTTGTAAAGAACGTGGCGCATTTTTTCATTTGCTTTGTAAGATCAGTTAAATGCCGCTGGAACCTAGCCAAATCATCCGGCAGTCAGAAAACTGAATATCGAACAGTTCATCGGTCCTTGTTAAGGCAAAGCCAACCAGCACGCCTCAGCCGATTGCACTCACTTGAGAGGCCTATGCAGCGCTGGTTTTACTCTGTTTCTTTGGTCTTCTCTTTCTATTGTATTTTTGTAATAACGTCGTTTGTGTTGTACGGCCATCAAGGTAGCCATAGTACCTGGATATGACGAAAAGGGAGTCCGTGCCAATATCTAACCGTGGGGTGTGGCTTCGACGTTAGCTAGATGGTCGCCGTTGAACTTCCATTACTAGCATGACTTCTGTGATTGTTATGTTTTAGCAGAAAAGTCTGCTAGCTTTTTTGCTCTCATATTACTAAACTATAGTTCTTGTTATCAAACCTATTTCTGTTGTTCTCACCATATCTTTATTATATTTCCGTTTGTATACTATGATTCTTGTTTTCACTCGTTTGTTTGTTTCCGTTTATTCGACTTATGGTGTGGTTTCTTCTACTTTGGTCCGGTTACTGTTGACTTCTGTCTTTTTGTTCTTCCTTTTCTTGGGCCTTATCCAGAGTACTTATTGGGATCCACGCTTTCTACTGGTGGTTCCTGCAGTCAACCACCTAGGACACCAAAGCTTTTGATTCTTTTACAGTTATTATCCACAATAATCTCTTCCGCTAGTAAGTCTTCTAAGACTTCGAATTCATTTCTGAGGGCTATCTCGCATCCGCATAAATCGTTAGGTTCTTGAAGGGAGGCTGAATCAAATTTACCCGTTCGTCCATAGCCACTTTGCTTACATTTCAGCTTGGCCACTGTCAACTGGTGATCTGAAGCTGTACCAGCCCTCCTCTTTGTTATTATGTCTTCTGAGAATTGTCTGGATTTTGTTCAAAATCAGGTTCAGTCTGCTTGGTTCTTCACGTTCTGGTCATGTGAAACCCAAGTAACTATGTGTAACTATCTGTGGGAGCTAATTGCATCACCTATAACTATGTTGTTGAGAGCACACAGATTTCCAATTCCCTAACCATTATCATTTCTTTCTCACAATCCATGTCACCCCATGGTATTCTTTTGTCAAGTGTAACGGAAAGAATACAATGAATATCCCTCGGAAGTGTTTTATTGAATAATATTGTTATTTCTTTGTTCTGCTCTACTGCCTTGCATCTGAACTTACTGAAGTCCCTTATGATCATGTTCTACGCTCTTCAGCATTCTTTGTCTGCGGCTCTACCGTTTGACTTTAGTTAGAGGTTCAAATTAATTACTTAATATTACCGTTTACACGTTGCCAGGCCGCAGACGATATGGCTGTGTTTGGCTCAGGATTACGTCATGGTTCTGTTGATGGTTGCTAACATTTGCTTACAGGAAGCAGTTACTTGAATCCATGCATATAGATATCCTATCGCATCTTGTTGAGAATACTTTTATTGATTTTCAGGGGCCGAACATAACTTATTAACTATTCCTTTTGCCATTTTGTGCTAAAGAAACCTTATTTTGTACAACACAGATTTTACCGTGCGATGTAATTTATGCTTTTCATATGATGTTTTTTCTTAAATTAGCACAATAATAACTCAGCAACACAGTACAAACTAGTCGCCAACGATTTTTCATCACCACCGTACGTAAACGTCGAGTATTGACAATCGCATAATAAGACTAGTAAGATTTACAAAACCGCTATTTGTCACAAGTGGTATTTAATACTTTAGATCTACTGGATAATTTGAATTCAGAAAGTAGTTAAACTATCTCAACATTTCACTAGAAGATATACTATGCTTTGGATTCTTCGTAAAATGTATATCTATTCTCACTTTGATTGGCCAAATATATTGTTTCTTATAAGCATCACTCCTCAAGGTATATTTAATAGCTGTTTTTAAACTATACAAAACTATGATTATACTGAAAAACAAATCATATTGATTGGAAGTATCGACTACATTTATAACTTTATGGCACGTAATTGAGTTGATATTTTGCTTAAACCAGTAAATATCATAATGAAAGAGTGTAAACAATGACTGAGGTAACAATTTTTATTTTATAAGGTTAGATGTACGATAAATATTTATGAGATGACAAACCGAGGTCTACAGGAAAAGCTTGGGGTCATACGAGGAAAAATTGGAACAGCTCACTTTTACCCGTACTTATGTTTCAAGTAGCTCCAATACTTGCTCCTGGTCGGTATTACTCGATCAAGTTCAATGTCGAACGAGCTCATTTGATACGGTAAAATAAAGCCCTTAAGTGCCGAAATAAAATAAAGCTTGTCAGTCGCCATAAATAAAAATTTTCATACTGAATATATGCAGTCTGTTAGACATTTAATGAATTCGTAAATATACTGTAAATTAACTTGCAAAGAACATTTTTGCAAATCACCGGTGTGGGCAAACCGGGTAGGACGTGAACGTTATGACCTTTTAGCTAACCACGAATGCACACCTCAGGCCTAATAATTAATCTGGATCGTCCTACGTAATAACCAGACGAACCGATTGCTTTGATGACTGGATAGAAAAAATCGTATAACTGCTAAAACAGGGTGCACTAGTACGAACACGTTAGTGAAGTACAGAGAAAGACCACTGCTGCATGCGCCTGTTCTTGAGATGCGACCGACTGTATCAGTCCCCACTCCCAGCAGTGGTACCTTAGTTCCTGTTTCTGAGGTTTACGTAAATCATAAATCTGTACTGCTCGTTGATCGATAGCAAATTAGTGTTGAAGATATCCTCTTCGTGATCAGTCATTGCCCCATCTCAAGGGGATTCGCCTCCTTAAAACGTCTTTTAACTTGTTTTTAGGGAGGGCTGTTCGCTGTTTGTGTTGACCCAAAGTTTATTATTTTAGACCAATCGAAGTTCGTTGCATATATTTGGCTTTATTCCGATCATTTCTAATATTTCTCGGAGAAAGTTTCCTACCCTGTGTGCTCACGCCGTTTAGGACATTTGGTGACGACCACAGTCTATTCATCAAATCATTTTTCCACTGGTTTGTTAGACATATGGTTCGAAAAGAAGCTTTTGAAGATCCAAGAAACAGCCACTGCTCATGTATCTGGGTCAAAGTCAGTTGATGGAGGTGCTAGCTATATCTGGTGTCATTTGGTTGGAATATTGTACTTGATGTAGATTTGTTAACAATGACATTATGCTGAATGAACCGAAAGGACTTCCACTACATTATTCTGTGCAACGAGGCTTGCCACTACACGTTTTGCTTAAACTTACACTTCTCGAATTAATAATAACTAATAAAATTGCTTTATGGAGTGATATACTTCCGGTTATGTAAAGGACGAAGTTCTCTTAACTGCTTTAGCATAAAAGATTCACGTTGACTTTTTAAATGAGGTAAAATAACATTTTCAATATTCACACTACTCGGTTCTCTGGGTCACGCACGTTTTTGATTTGTTTCAGGACTCTGTTTAACATGGCTATATATGATTACGAGGGGCACGTAGATGATGATGATGTTGAATCGAATAAGGATGTCCCCATAGACACGGCATGGGAATTACAACAAAAGAAGGTACAGTAGCATTTTTATTTTGTGAAATATTTGACTGCAGACTTTTACCGCGTGGTGCAATGCTCACTTAAGAAATGTTAATAAACAAATTAACGTCATAGAAAATGATTTTCGCGATGGAGTAATGTTAATCAAATTACTTGAAGTTATCTCTGGTGAATCATTACCGGGTCCTGAGAGGGGAATGCTGAGGTTTCATAAAATTGCTAATGTAAACAAAGCTCTCGATTTTATCCAGAGCAAAGGCGTCAAGCTGGTGTCTATCGGCGCTGAGGGTAATATTTTAAAGTTGTCTATCACTTTCTAGAAATTGTCGACGGGAATCCAAAAATGACTCTTGGGATGATATGGACAATCATTCTTCGCTTTGCTATCCAGGATATCCAGATAGAAGGTATAACGTCCTAATCCCTCACCTTGTTCTGATTCAGATTCATCTGCTAAGGAGGGTTTGCTGCTTTGGTGTCAAAGACAGACTGCACCGTACAAAAATGTGTGCGTCGAGAATTTCCACACTAGGTTTGTTAATGTACATGAAACTAAAGATTTTCTAGTTTTAAGGATGGACTAGCGTTTTGTGCCATAATACATAGAAATCGGCCTCACCTAATCGATTACTCTCAACTTAAAAAGGTGTGCAATATTTTTATCTCATACCACTCTTCCAGGGTGATCACATCAAAAATCTAAATCTTGCTTTTGAAATAGCGGAAAAACACCTTGACATTCCAAAAATGCTCGATCCAGAAGGTAAAGTAAATATGTCTAATGTTAATGACTCTTAGATATGGCAAGCCGCAAGAACTGTGATGAGCAATCTGTGATGGCTTACTTGTCTTCATATTATCATGTGTTCTCAGGATCTCACAAGGTAGTTTTCTTGGATTTATGAATGTAAATTTGCTTTTTTCTTTGTTTGCAACTAGTCAGTTTTTGGGTTTCGGTTTTTTAGTTTATCATAATCATGTGCATCTGCCTTTGATATTCTGTATTTCTCGTCCAGTTTGTGCTACTTAGTTTGCCTGTTGCATTAATCATTTTTTTCAGACTGACATCGCAGCTACTCGTATCGCTAATAATCTTCGGATGATTAGGGAAAATCAAAATCTAGAAGAATGCTACGAAACAATTTCGACTAACCTTTCGGACTGGATAAAAATAAAGCTACGAGAATTCGGAGTAAGTTACGGTAAATTATTTTTTGACCCTGACTTTTGTAGTTCAGGCTACCATAGTTTTTCGTATTTGACAATATAGTCAAATATTTGCCATAAGGCTCTTCAATCACTAAGCAAACTGGGTTTCAACAGGTACTTTAACTGTTAGTTGATGTTGAAGCAGTTTTGATAACTAGTACTCACCTATCCACGTAGATTGGTTCATGTAATTATTTTGAAATCATTCCACGGTCTTACCATTATTACTCCTTTCCAACGAGTTGGATTTGGGTTGCATATAGTTTCAGTGTTCTTATTTTAGTGCATTCATTCCTCAACTATCCAGTCGATATTTCTTTGCTTAACACATATTTCGCATTGTTATTTTACAGGGAAGTGCAAAATAATTTGCGTCCAATGGTGGTCTGTTAGTGTATGTGTGTAAGAAACCCCACTGACTAGCTATCTAAACGTTTGAAGGTCGTATTTTCCCAAAGTCTTTAAACAGTTTTGGATTTGTTTGTGTTATTCTAATCTGCACCGATCAGTTGTCATTTTATCTCCACAAGTTACAGTATTTATGATTCGTAAAGAACCCCCAGTTCGTAATTCGGTTGACTATACTTATTACAGTTTATGCTCTACTGTTCCTTCACTTGTTTATCCTATTTCAGCAACGTGATCCTCAAACATCTGTTTCCGCTGTTGAAGGACTACAGCAGAAGTTTAGATTGTATTACCGCCAAGAAAAACCATCTAAGTTACAGGAAAAAGCTCGCTTAGAGACAACCTACAATACACTCCAGACTCGTCTGCGATTAAACAATAAGTCTCCTTATGTACCAGCCAACGGACGCTTGATAACGGATGTTGCTAAGAATTGGAGTTCTTTAGAACAGGCTGATAAAATCTATGAGGTTAGTGTTTGGGATTTCTGTCAAGTTTTTTATGTAGTCATTTGTCATTGGATAACACCTCAATATACATCACAATATATTGATCACTGCCAATTCATGATTTATGAAATTGTTTTAGGCGTCTGGTGAATCGTTACACGTAGTGGTAATTAAGTAAGCGAACTGGGGTGTTGTTGCAAGACTTGGCCTAATATAATTAAAAAAAGTACGTTTCTTTGTATCTGTCCATAGTTATGATCACTAACGTATCTATTTCTCTATCGCTGTTTAAATGGCACTGTGCTACGGGTATTCATGTACTCATAATGAGTCACTTGATAGATATAGTGCCTCATTTTCTTAAATTTTATTCCGAATGTTTTGGATGCCAGTCTTGGATATTTATCACCAAAACGACTTCGAGAATCAAGTCGTTCATATCCTAAAAAGAAACTTAAATGACAATTCTGTTTTATTTTTTCACCTACTCCAGCTTTTAGGTGGAGTAATATGCCCTACTGTTCATCTGGTCTTTTTAAATGATATTCTCCATGTCTAGTGTCCCAATGCTACTAATATATCCTTCAATCCCTTAAATTTCATCTCGTTAATTTCCTCTTTATATGTGCAAGCCGCATTTTTCATTCAATGTTGTTTGTTTCTACTGTTCAAAACAACCTATATATTCTTACTTCTAGGAATGGCTATTAGAAGAACTACAAAGGCTAGAGCGTCTTGAATATCTGGCTAAGAAATTCGAGGTGAAATGCTCCACTCATGAGGCATGGACTAATGGGAAACCAGAAGCGTTGGCTTCAAATGACTTCCGCTCAGCTATGCTATCGGAAATGAGGGCATTTCAAAAGAAACATGAGGCTTTTCAATCGGACATGACTGCTCATCATGCTCGCATAGAGCACATTCAGGCGCTTACCGAAGAACTTAAGTAAGCCTTTTCTTGCTCTTGGACGAAAATACTGAATTCCTCATTCGAATTTATTTATGGCGTTTTAAAATTTCGCTTCCAGAAATGTATCGCACAAATAAAGTGGTATTGTGAGAAAGGAGTGTCATGCAAGCAATAAACAAGTGAACAAGAATAGCAGTTATTAAAAATATAAAGTTCGTTAAAAAATATGGTCAGGATAGAGTCCTTCCAGTTAAGGGAGTTCGACCTGTCTTAAGCTTAACGTTCGGTAGACTTCTTTTTAAGTTCTACCCTAGTTAATAGTGAACCGTGGTTTTGTCTCACCTTACAATTCAGTCTTTATAATTCTCCACTTCGAGGCTGGTTTTAGGATATCCTAAATTCTTAGACCACTGGTTTTATCCGCTCTGCCCGTTTTCAGTGTATTGTTTTTTCTTTTACGGTCGCAAACTTTTGCCAGGATCTATCTAACTCACATTTCGCCAAGCTCATCAAGAATCCATGTAAGCAATCTGTATGCCGTTTTGCTGTCATCCAAGGTATGAATACAGTGATATTGATTATTGTTAAAGGTATGACGACAGTTATCACTCCCCGGCTGCCCACACCGTTGGAAGGTTCTTCTGGAGCTACCTGAGATGGAAATTGTGTTATAGGTGGTTTTGTTGGCCTGAGAGCGTGACCGCAGTACTCAAGGGACAACTGCTTGAGGCCGGTCGCACATGACTTTCTGTAAGTAATTTTCTTGTTAGCTCAGTACTTGTCGAAACCTTAGCGCTGGAGTCAGATATCCGTGGGATAAGGCAAGGTGGGTATTTTTAGGGTCGAGCTTTTCTAGCCCTACACTTCCTTGTGGGGGAAGGCAGCGTCGCTGTTATGCTGGTTGTTTGAAGGTAACACCTTACTGTTGTCCCACCTCTGTACAGTCAGCAGTACGACTTCACACCAGTCGTTGAAGTCACTAACTTCTGTTCTGAGCCATGTCGGTAGATGCAGACTACTTGGTTGCGGTCCATGTGACTATCGTAACCAATGGTTGGAGACTGTGGGTGACATGGCATATGATCGATCACAATGGCGTTTTTGTATTCACTCTTTGTCTGCAATTAAACCGTGAGATTAAAATTGCTTTAGACTTTTATTTCTACAAACTAATTCTTTCTTCCTGTACTATATGCTTATACACAATCTTTCTTTTATATATTACTGCTATTGAAGTGACTAGTTCTACGAATTTGGTGTCCATTTTGTTGTGCTAATGAGGTGTGTCGACTTGGACCGATGCACATATGTGCCTGGTCCTACATTGTAGCTGACTAACATCTGTGTTATGCAGTGTGACAAATGTTTAGGTTGGTTCCACGAAGTATGCACAGATCTTATAGTAATTGCTAACAACAAACTTATTAAGTCAGATCGCAGGTGGATATGTGGCACATACAACATGAATGCTGAGGTTTTGCTGAGCAACATCATCATTCTCTTGAAATGTCTGCGAAAAAATTGTAAGCAACCCTGAAAAAGGCAATCTTGAATTGAATAAACAAAGACGCTCAGTAAAGTAAAGAAGAGGGTCTTCAACATTATTAGTATCTATGGAACACGCATCGACACGAGTGAGGATATGCTGAAATTCAGCACCATCATCATATCGGCTATGCTAAACTCTATCAGCAAACTTGTGTCCTTCAGTACAGGCTCCCTAAATGCAACTGTGGTCCCAAAAAATTTTGTAGACAACGCGATCCCGTCAACACAGTTAAAAAAGATCGAGTGTCTCCGTCAAAATGTTGAAGAGCTTAGGTCTTGCAGGAAAACCACTTCATGAAGTGGCTGTGTAACCTACCTATATGATTGTCCAACTAGTCCGCAAAGAGCACGGGAATCCGAAACGCAACTCATCTATCAAGCAAAAAGGTCCCCAACTCCAACGTACCCGAGAACCTGGGAAAACGATCACGATTCAAGATATTTATCTCATCACTATGAACCTTAAAGACAGCTCTGACCTTCCTTTCAGTTTGCAGGACAAAAATAACAGGTTGCTCTGGTATGAGTTAAACAGGAAGCTCAAATTTTCCTGAATCGAGCCGCTGACGGTTAAACGGCTTACTCCGAGGGCAGGATTCCAAGCACTAGAATCCTCCAAAACTCCTACGAGCAACGTTCACTCACACTGCTGACGGGGAGGATGTTCTGCTGGTCAGTCATTCGCTGAAATAGGAAGGGGACGTAAGAATAGCGTCTAATATACAATATTCTGAGCACAATGTCATCCGGAACATTCCTAAGGAATCTCGTGAGACGCTCTTTCCTGGAAGAAATATGATTGTTCAAGTCGTCCCAAAAAAGCACTGTTCCTGACCATGTAGGCTATTATATTCTAGAGTTAAAATTCACAAAGCAGTCCTTGAAACTCAAAAACATATTTACTCAACAAGAGTAGCGGTTGCTTTATCTGTTCATATAGCTATAAAATTAACTATTAGTTGTAACCACTCATTTTTACCAAGCTGGTAATCATTTTTATGTTGAAAAAAGTTTTTACGTTTTGTGCCAATACTATTATTTTACCTTTCAGTAAACTGAATCATTTTAACATAAATGCTTTCAATCAACGTTACAATACTATTATAACCACATGGGATGAAATGAAAAAGTTGTCCTCTCAAAGAGAACGAGAAATATCTGTGAGTTAGGTGTATATTGCTTTGATATTTTAAAGATATTATTTCAAATGATTCTTTCATATTTCTCGCTATTGAATATACCTGTCATTCTTATAATGAGACAGTTAGTTTTGAAAATTGAACGTTTATTAGTTGGTTTACTGTGTAAGGGATCCAAATCAGATCAGATAACTTTCATTCAATGGAGAAAGTGCTTTTACGAACTGAACGTAAACTCATTTTGCGTATAAAACTCATAATCCAGATGGTCATTTACTAACTCCATATTCCATTTGTAAGCAATTGTGTAAATCCACTATTTTTAGTTTTACACATTACGTCCGATTTTATTTGTGTTTTTCGTTTTTGGTTAACAGAAAGCTTTGACAGCTCTGGAAGAAATCGACCAGCTTCACCTCGATTTCGCGAAACGAGCTGCAGTAAGTAAAAATTCTTTGTTAGCCAAGTGTTTTTTAAATGATTTTGTGTTCGCGTAAACATATTCTTCAAATGGTTTAATACTTAAGTACATTCTTCTTGTATGCCAATTATTGTACTATTTGTAGCAAAAAAAGCACAAACGCTAATTTCTCACAAATAGTAAGTTGAATTGAAAAATGAGTTAGCTGGTATAATTCTAATATGGGATATCAATAGCAATAAGAGTAATAGGATTGATAGCTTAATTGATAATGAGGTAAATACAGGTTTTAAACTTCTAAACTGGCTCATTACACATCCGTAACTATGTATCACTTTTATGCTTAAAGGTGAAGTGCTTACTTTGTTAACTATTGATGTTCAAAATGATATATGTTTATCAACTAGCATTTTGGAAAGTAGGAATTTAGTTTGACAATTGGTCTACAAAATCATATAAATTTCTGTTTTAAACCTATGATCTCAATGTGTTTTTATAGTTAAGTTTTTCCATACACTACTCAAAGATTGCATAAACAATAATCTTTATTAATAGATTGATTGACTGAGTTTACTAAATTATTGCTCATATTTGTAAAATTTTATGAACAAATCCTCTACAATTCCTAAAATTTTTTATTAACTGCTACAATTATTTGTCGTTTATTTTAGCCATTTAACAATTGGATGGAACAAACAGAAGAGGATTTACGAGATACATTCATTGTTCATACAATGCCTGAAGTTGAGGTAAAATTATTGTAACTTATTCACAAAGAGGAGTAAGAAAGAGAAAAGTTTTTCCATGTAATCATAATTATCAATGTTGTATGTAATATTGATTCAGTAAAGTTCTAATCCATTGGTTCGGGCATTCAAATTTCAACCAAATTCACTGGACTAGAATTGATTAATAGCATTTACTACAAGTTTTACCGTGTGCTTACTTGTTTTGTTGTTCTTAACACTTTTTCATGTTTTTTCTGAAATCCTGCAGAGATTAATTGCAGCCCATCAAACATTTGAAAATACCTTAGATGAAGCTGAGAACGAAAGTCGTCAACTCCAGTTGTGTGCACAAAAGGTTGAAGAAATAGCTAGTGAATATAAACTGGTGAATGCAACTCAAAATCCTTATACAAATATTGAACCTCATGTAAGTTTCTTAATTTGAAATTTGTCGTAATTTGCAAATAAATTTAAATTTTCGGATTAAACGATTGGAGAACACGGGATTTTTTCATCGGAATTTGAAACTTCCTTTTGAGATACAATGATTATGTTTTTAGTTACAGCTGAAAAATTGTTTTCTTTGCCTAATAATCCCATAGCTTGTACTACCAAAGTTTTTTTATATGCTTATGATTCCTATACAATTTGAAATGTGAACACAAGTGTCGAGTATCTTAACAACACAGTAAAAGGGAAATGATCAACGAGTTGGAATATCATTAAATCATGGCATAAAAATTCCTAAAATTACGATTATGTGGACCGAGATAAGAAGTGACTAGACCCTCCTGTTAGCTGCCACTGTGCTTTCAGTCCAGTTACAATATGAGTTTTGACTTTTGATTGAAAAAAAATTGATTATTATCATAGCTGATACTAATGTACTGGTACTGATATTGAAGATCGTTATTCGATATTTCAGTGACTTACACGAGTTTGACGAAAATAATTCCAGTGGTTTACATACCGAGCATTACTTCCTTGTATACATTACTTCACAATATTCATTTTTTGATTAGTGTATATCTTGATTAGTAAATGCACTATTGATCAAGCATAACGCATTTTGTAGTTTTATCTAATACTGACAATTCGAAAATAGCTGTTGTTTTATTTCTGTAGTTTCATGACTTTAATTTCATTGACCTAATGTAAACACTAAATTAAATACTAAAGTTCACTGTTATTTTGTATAATCGACTAGACATTTCAACATCTCACTAACATGATAAGTCCTAGGATTTTGAAGTAAAATATTTGTAGTTATTTTATGTTCTCTTAATCTCAGTTATGATGGGAACCAGTTAAAAACCTAAGTTTCGCTATAGCTGCCTAGTGTACTACTTAATACTCCTCTGTTTACTAAATCTTGGTAAATTGTTATTTAGTTTGACTTGCCAAATAATAACGTTAAAATAAGGCTCCTTAACTGATCTATTTCATAACGTCTACATTACATTTCGTGATCTGTACGAGAAATCAGTCTGATTTAGTGTAAGTCATCAACAACTATGTTTGCTATAAATTGTACTGAAAGATCTACTAGCTTTTAAAGAGGTTAATTTACTTTGCTTATTTTTTTCTAATTTGTAGGTGCTTCCACAGCGTTGGAATATGATTCGTGAATTAACACAGAAAAGAAGTGCATTATTACATAGGGAACGTGAACGTCAACTAGCAAATGAGAAATTACGACGCGAATTTGCACAGAAAGCCGAAGCATTCAATTCATCTATTGAAACTCATCGTACGGAAATTGTTAAAGTTAGCATGGAATCACATAGTTCACTAGAGGATCAACGAAATAATTTACAGAAATTGGAAGAAGAATTAAATAGGCATCAGGATAAGTTGAATGAATTAGAACACGTTAATCAGGTCAGTTGACCCAAACATTATTTCTCTCGTTTATCTACTAGTGTATTTATCTGCAAAGGAAACTAGATTAATGATGATCTTGTAGCTTGTCTGGGTTATGGAGATTTCCACATCTCAGGGGAAGTACGGGATACAATGGATGCAACTAGACGAATTGGACTGCGCAGATAACCTGCGCTTCTATCTCATACACACAAACAAGTGCAGGTAAATACAACCAGTGTAGCAGCAACCTCTGCAGCAGTAGGCCTCCACAGACACAAGGGAAAAAGCAACATCCTAAACTATAATACAGAACGCCCATACAGTCACACTTGATGAAAAAACTCTAGAAGAGGTGGAAAATTCCAAGTACCTGGACAGCATCATCGCTGAGCGAAAACGTAAAGGTGAGAATTGGTAAAGCAAGAACAGCATTCCTACAGTTGAAGAACAATGGAACGCAAAACAACTGTCAACCAATACCAAAATCAGAATCTCCAGTACGAACGTTAAAACAATTCTACTGTATGAGGCTGAAACTTGGAGAACTACCACAACCATAATCAAAAATGTACAAGTATTTATAAACAATTGTCTACACAAGGTATTCAATTTCCGTTGTTCAAATACAATCAGCAACAGCCTGCTTCAGGATAAAACAAACTACCAACTGAAGAGTAAATTAGGAAAGGACGTTAGAATTGGATAGGATATACATCATGGAGATCAATAAACTACATCACGAGGCCGAGCGCTGACTTGGAATCCTAAAGGGAAATTGAAAAGTGGAAGACAAAGGAATACAATGCCACTGGAATTGGAGCAGACATCAAAAGAGTGAATAGCAACTGGAAAGAATTGTGCAGGACAGAGTTGGATGGAGAATGCTGGTGAGTGACTTATGCTCCTCTATGAGGGGTAACAGGCGTATGTAAGTTGGAAACTGAAAGACCTGAATACAGGCTTAAAAGGAAAACTCTTTAAGGTTGGTCATAAACGGCCTTTTTGTAGAAATGTTTTGATGTATTAGCTGCACACTTCAAAAGGACCTACTTCTGGAGACACCAATCCATGGGGTAAGGCAATGTTTGCTATTTTCAGGGTTGACTTTTTTTCAGCTACTCTTTCCATCGTGAGAAACCAGCATTGGTGTAGATGCTCGTTATCTGGGGAGAACGCCTTACTGCCGTTACAGTTCTAAACGGTCACCAGTTTAATACTACCGTCGGACCTTTAGTTGCTTACTTCCGTTTTACTGTTCTTCAGCCGACCTTTATGACATTGTAGGACATAAAGAATATGTCCCACCCAATATAGTTTGATTTAGTTATTAATATATGCCAGTTGTTATATTGGCTTTGTAGTTTTACCTTCGAGTTTCTGAGTTTTTTTGAATTCGCCGTGAGATGAATGCATTGTAGTTATTAAGCTGAACGTTAAACTGTACTTTCTCTTAGTTATAGGGAAACCTTTAAAACTTAAGTTAAAACCTTATTCTGTTTCAGACTCTCATCAATTGATAATTCTAGTTGATTACGCGTCCTTCACTTGATGACGAGTTAAGTTCTAAATAATAAATTAATCTGCTAACTAGTAGTTTTTCTACTTATCTTTGACTAAATCTTGAATTAATCAGTATTGAATATCAGGGTTGAGTTAGAAAAAAAGGTGATATCTTGAACGTATATAATTTTTTGCAAAATCCTCTATGTGAATATGCCTGTTCTTTTTAGAGAATGTTTCTTTTGAAAACGTAAAGTGAATTCGCCTAATTTTTTTAGCTCTAATTAGAAGTTGATCTCCTGTTTTTGTCTGTGTATATAACGGGTTATGAATGACTAGAATTAATTTTAAGTACCTGATAGTAATCTCAGTGTAACAATATTTGCAGAGCGTATTTTCGAGTTTTTTGATGTCAAATATTACAATCCATCGAATATTAGTGTGAATATGAATACTGAGATTCAGGTTTTTAAACTCAACTGTGGCGAATCTCAAAAGAGGAAAAAAACATGCGTTCTCGATCTCCATCGCTAGCCACTAGCCAAACTCCAATGATGTGACAATAGTTAATATCGTCATTGATTTAAATAATACTTTGATTTCATTTGCTTTTTTCTTTTTTTTCTTATTACCTAGGCATTAGAAGATGCATATATATTTGAAAATCCATATACTGTTTACTCAATGCCAACACTGCGCGTTGCATGGGAACAATTGTTCACTTTATTACACTACTCTGTCAATGAAATAGACAATCAGATATTAACAAGAGATTCCAGAGGATTAACAGCTGAACAAATGAATGATCTGCGTACTTGTTTCAAACATTTTGATAAAAATAATACTGGACGTTTAGAGCCAAATGAATTTAAGGCTTGTCTTGTTTCATTAGGTTATAATTTTAGAGATGATATAAAAAATGTAAGTTATAGCAATTATTACCATTATTGCCATCATTCACTATTTTATTGAATAATGTTCATTATTGTCATGTTTGATAACTGCAGCTCAATAAATTAAAAATCAACTCCCGTATTGGACAAACATGGGAATTTTTGTTGAGTTCATCTAACTGTCAAATAAGTATTTTATGGCATAACCCTAAAAAAACAAATATGCTGTGGCCATAATGTCTTATTCATTAAGTCTAATCAAATCAGTTGTAACAGTTACTCTAGGTACGTTGTAATGTTTTGAGAAATTTGGCTTCAGTATTGTGGTAAATGTTTTACTAACAAGTTACCACAAGTTAGAACTGTGGTTAGATAATCTAGACCTTCAAATTTAAAACCAGAATACCGTCAACCCCTTGGGGTCTACACAAAATTCGTTTCATAGTTGTGCACGCAAACTTGATATGGTTTCCTAGTTACTTCAAATGCTACAAGATTCAGATCCTCTTAATATCGTACTTTAATGTTCAACCAAATACTCTATCTACCATTTTATACACTTAACTAAGTTTGGATAACTGTAATGATTGATGTAGGGTTTAATGGCTATGGAGTAAAGTCACCGCTTTAATTTCTGAGTTACTCGTTGTACTGTACTCTCCAACTGTTACTTTTCCTATGAACTCTCAGTTTTTCCTTTAACTACTTAGGAACAACCACGCAGGAGTGTACATAACACAACATAACCTACCGAATTTTCTCCATGTTTTGATTACTCTTGATTTAGGTTCTAAAGATCTCTGGGTATTATTATTATTTTTAAACATTTAATAATCGATTTACGTGGAATATTGTATACATCATAAGGGTTGAATCCTCTTAGTATTATATGATGCAGACTAAATTATGATAAATCTAAAGAGTACGTGTGGATTGGAGGGCATTTTTAGATTTTTTTGAAAATACTAATTAAATCATTCACTAGGTACTTGGGCATGAGCCACACTCTAAATGTGAAGGCTAGTGGTGTTATCCGATTGTCCAGTCTAAATTGGAGCACGACTCGAATCTGTGCGATTCGAATGTCTTAACGATTAAGCCACCGCTCCGGTTATTGGAGAGCTTTAACCTACTTAGGGATTAAGAAATGAATACATTAGATAGTTAAAGGTAATCGACAAAAAAACTAGTCAATTTAACATTTACAGTGTTACAGGGTATTGATTTGTTAAAAATTTTCTACTTGTTTTGCAACAGTCATTGCCAAATCTGGCATCTGGTTCTCGTGGCTCCGTATGCGTAAGTTCCGAAAATTTTACTTTTACGTCTGAAGTTAACGTTTTGTATTTGTGATATATATTAATATGTATAATAGTAATAATCATTAAATGATTATAGTTTTAAACCTTTAGGGAAGTCTACCTAATTCATGTTGTGTAAAATATTCTGGAATAGGTATTCTTCATGTTATTTATTTATTTTAACACATTGATATTGGTACAAGAAGGCACCAAATACATATGCGCCACACAAATCTTATTCGATATGTGTGAGGGCTGTGATACTGCCCGGGTGCCCAAACCGAAGCAGGTGGTTTTCTTAGGGGGCCACTCCCTGAGCCTTTGACCTAAACGTCTGACCCACAAGGCAGTGAAGCATCGTAAGGAGATGCAGTCTCATGGAAGCCGGTGACCAACGAGTGGTTCATACGCCATTTGTTCCCGCAGGATACTGGAGCCCATGTGCACCATTGGTTTGGGATCCGGTTAAAGCGCCGGACATTCGCTTTTCGTCCTCTCATTTTTGTTAATAGCACCCCCGTCACGAGAAGGCATTGAGTAGGACTTCCCTGGCAGAGACTATATACGCGCGGCCGTGTGAGAGCATTTCGAGAGGGAGAGAGGTCTCTCCCCACTCTCGGCCGTACCAGGGCATTTGGGGGCATTAATCTTAGTTCAGCGATTATATCACTTCTGATTGTTAGATTGCGTGTTCAAAGTTCACTCCATCTATCTTAGTAATGTTGATTATTATCACGAGACAACAATCACGAAGTATGTGGCTCATGTAATTGGTCTGGGTTGTCAAATGCCTCTTGTATTAAATATTTTTACTATTGTTGTAGTAATGTAACAAACGTCAACCTTAAATTCATCAGAAATTCTGGTGACCTCATCCATAACACTCATTTATGCATGCATCCAGATAAAATATAGCTTATTATGAGTGCAAGATATGTAAAGGGGAAGCATAAATCACTTTTTTAATGCATAAAAGGTTTTTTTCAATAATATCGGTTCATGAAGTTACTGTCTTTTTGTATGAGAGTCGTTCTTAGGAGCAGATTACCTAATAGGAGTTCGCTCGATAATTGTGATCAATGGTCGAAGTTATTGTGTGGCATGACTCGAAATCAGTCGCACTAACAGACACTTATTCTTTGTTGCCCTTAAATTCTTTCTCAAACTATATTCTATATTTCATATCCTGACTTTTCTATCACTGATTTTTTCATTAACTCAATTACCAGGTACAGATTCGTGTACTTGACTTTGAGCCACACTCTAAGTGTTAGAGCTAGTGATACTATTGGGTTGCACATGCAAAAGTGAAGTAGGTTTTAAACTTCAGACCTAGTAGGTGAAAGTGCGACGTCTTGACCACTTCGCCATCGCCTCACTGGTACTACTGATATTACTCTATTTCCTACTTGTAATTTTCATCTCACTGCTAATATGTAATACGACAACTTAGATTGATGCATATATATATATATATATATATATATATATATATATATATATATATATATATATATATATATATATATATATATATATATATATATATATATATCAGTTCTCATGTTACTTATCATCAACCGACTAATTGATGTCAGTCCGACTGAATAATATAGGGCTAATTCATGGCTTAACAGGAAGGTTTCTAGAAAATTAAAAAATGGTCAATCGAAGAGCAAAATCATATATATATATATTTGATCATGTCTATTTACAACCCAATTACTAGGCATATGCTCATAATATGTAAATAAATATTGTTTACGGGCATAAGAAAGTAAACTAAACAATGAATCATTAGGCTAAATTTAATTGATACTATTTCCTTCCTGTCATTCATTAGGACATAATTCTAATGAACTTACCATGACTTAGATCTATTTTGGAATAAAGTAAATCATTAACGCCAACACTTTTGTTTTCATTAGTTTTGTCTGTATTTCCTATAAAGATGAATAATCTGTCGTCTTAGTAATTTTATACGTTGTGTTTACATTTAATTGAAGTTTGTCTCCTTTCTGATCTTTTAATGGGTACCTTGGTTTTAATTACTTTTGAGACTTTTTTTGTTTGTATTATTCTTAACTCGGTAATTGTTTTGTAACATAATTTATTGTTAGCAAGATGGTCACAGATGAAGTTGTACATCGTTTTTAATCAAATGTTCTAATGACAAAGCCTGACTTCATCTCTATCCTTATTTATTGTCAGTGTGTTTTTTGTTGTTGGTGATGGGGGGAAGAGCATCAGTCCATGGTAACTGACATCTGTGATCTAAGTTGTGCAGATAAGGACTGGATTTTTTCTTGTTCGTGTCGATATCTATAGTTGAAGATTTTAGCTGATATTGTAGAGTAATATGTAGTAAGCGTTTTAAACGAGTTGGGATTTTAGTCACTGTTGAGAAAATACCTTCTTCCGCGAAAAATCCGTTCATGCTTACCAAAAATTAAGTTTATTCAAATCATAAATTCAAATTACTTAAGCCATATACGACAATTCATTTCTAACTTGATGCCAGTCATATTGTTAGATCGTCATATTTAGGGTCACGCAACAAAATATTACAAATACAGAATATGTTTATGGTCGATAATAATAATAATTGTTGAAGCCTTTCAGTGTTTGTTTTTTGATTTATACTCTATTGGCGACGGGTGTTGGAGTATTAGACAAATCGTACTGGACGAGATCTAATTTTCAAGTTACCGTGACTGGTAAATACTTCAGTGGAATTTATGTTTCATTTGTTCTCATCTATTTTGTAATAGACTTCACTATTATAAAACTCTTCTTAGATTTCATAAAAGTTTTTAATCGATATACTATGAATAGTGAGAATGAAACAGATTGAGTGGCATTTCACTTCAATATAGTGTGTTTCAACTTTATTGTAATGGAGGTGCTCATCTTTTAGAGCAATTGAGTTTTAACCGTTAGCTTATAGGTTTGGACCACACTGTCTTAATAACAGTGCAATTTAAATCTAAGCACGTAAAATTACGCTTAATAAATGAGTTATAGCTTCATTCAAGTTACGTGTTACATTCTGTATTTGTTTTGTCAAAACTGAAGGCTACGAAATTTTCTCCTGTTGTTAACTGCTTTCATTGATAAATTTCTTAGAGGATTATTTCATGCACATGTTAGGTTAAATTCAAGGTGCTCTCCTGATTATGATTAGAGTATGAACATACAGATTTTTCTGAATGGTGATATGCCAAGTATTATAGATTTGCAGTTAGTGTCAAGTAGTCACTATGTACTTAGTCTAACTCATTATCAATGTAGTCTGTTTGCTTGTCTTAAATATTGTTAACATGTTTACATATACTTAGTTATCCATTAAATTTTACATAACAAAGTACCTTATCATTGGTAATTCCTTACTTCTGCTGTGTATATATTCGGTTTCTTTATTTTAATGCACTAGAGCCTTGATTGACATAGATGAGCCGTTAGTGAGAAAATTGGTCACCACATAATAACTGGTTTCACAATTTCAACCTAATATTACCGTATTTCAAAGAAGGTACATCTGTAGCGTTGCGTGTTTACTTTTTTGATGACTTCGTGATAACCTACCTCTATGTATTAATTGGTCGACCATAGAGCACTTTTGATTACCATATTTCTAAACTTTTTAGATTTTAGGTTTTAGCTTGTTCTTGTCTTTAGTTGACTGATGCCAATGCATTTTTCTGTCAGTTACTTTTTAAACACTTGCCCCTCTACCAATAGGTTTTAAACTGCAGGTTCATCTCATTTAATTTGGTTTAGACAACTAGACAGTGTCTCCAAATCTAATTGGAAGTGTAACTCAAAGCCGAGTACACGAACGTGTATTTGATTGAGTAGATTATATTGAATATTTTGTAGATTTATCCCACTAATATGTATTTGGATCAAGTTTTTCTCTCAGTAGTATGGTTTCCCATAGTAATACTATCTCATTTTACAGACAATTATATACATATATATTAGCTTGGTATAAATATAATGTGTATTTGCCTGTTAATAATAACGTTCTTATCGATTTCATACAGAGTAGAAGTATGCACGATATAGAGTACTTATAATGAAAAGTCCACCCTGATTGTGTTTTAGAAAAAACTTTTACTCTATTATTTTTTTATTTGTTTGTTTCTTAATACGGATATTCACTACACAACACTTAGTTTATTTCGAATGCCCTAGTATAGATTGTTTGTATAGAGACGCGTTATTGGGGCATAACTTTTAAATTCTGTTTTTCATCAATATATAGCTACCACAAGTTGACATCAGTCACAAAGTCATAGGAAATTCAACAGTACTCGGTGTTTTACTTAATTACATTTCTATTAGGCTGAATGGTCATACACTTCTGTTTCTTATTTGAGTTATTTAGACAAAACAAAATAGGCTCGGTTGTAGTAACTGCTTTTTTCTGAATCACAGTTTTGTTGTTGTGTATGTCTATGTAATATTGCCATCATGAAGTAATCGGCTATATAAGAAGGTTCGAAATTCCCCGATAATTTATAACATCTCTCCTATTTTTATTAATGATTGCATCATAGTAACAATCTGTTTTTAGAATTTCTAAAAGCTATTCAGATTGAAAGTCAATGCGAAATAAGATAATATTAAGAAAAACGTGACGGTTGTTTTTGAGATTACAATTTGTTTCGTAATTGTATACTCTCGATTTATTTTGATTAAACATTTTGACATAGAATAATAATAATATCTAATAAGTATGAGTAATGATATTGTGTCTAATCCTATCCGATATTTATTTATGACAAATTGTGTTTTAATTATCCGACATATTTCAACAATTTTTTTCTGAATGCGTTTCCAATTGTCAATCGACATCATATGGTTTACTATTAATAGCACAGTATCAGTAGTATATTTACCCCTCCGTTACTAATTTACAATACTGAACTTTCAGTAGTAAATTTTTATGTCTACTTGAGTACACAAAGTTATAGTACTGTTTACTGAAAAGTA